AAGAATGATGAGAAGGCTGAAAGAGGAGTGGAGAAGGTGGGTGGTCTTAGTATCTTCAAAGAAATTGACCGGTAGATCAAGAATTCCATCACTGACAGGAGGAAGCTGAAGAATTTCAGAAATCTTATGGCTTTCTGGCTCCATTGAGGGATCTTTTTCTTTCATATCTTGAGAATGTGTAGTGTCTAATGTTTCCTTGTTTTTTTATTTCTTTTTTTGCAAGGAAATTTGCTTTTAGGTCTTCAAATATGTAACACCTAAACTTTCATTAAATGATATTTACAATTTTAGCAGAAAAAAAAAAGAAGGTGGGTGGTCTTGAGAAGTACTGAAAACAAGCAGCCGGTTTTGTTTGTTTAGCCATAGGTGTAGACGTAGGGTGGGGTTGTAGAACGTTACAACCCTTTGTTATTTTTCTAAAACAAAGTGAGATAGGTTTTGATAAGCACTTATGCATCAAACATGTACAAATTTGGTTTTTCTATAAAAAAAATAGTTTGTCCGCAAAAAAGACATGCATGCAAAAATTACAATTAAAATTAGAGAAATACCTTAAAATATCACCCTATTAAGTTTTTTTTCCAAAGAACCATAACTAGTTTATTTTCCAATGGTGCCACAAATTTTTGTAGAATAATATTTGTTCAACCAAAAGAAATTACAAATAAATTAAAAATTCTATTTAGGTTCCCTATTTCAAATTTAGGGTACATATTCTCACTATTTAACAGATATTTTGATTTATTTTAATATGAAATTTGTAGGTATCATTAAAAAAAAGTAGTGATAGTACTTTTCGAACAAAAACTTAAAAATGTGGTATTTTAAAAATCTGCATTTAAAATTATTAGAAAAAGGGTTTTATGTTATAGTAAGTTAATAATTCCGCAAATGAAACTAACACACACACTCATATCGTTTAAAAGATTTTTTTAATGTAGTTTTTCATTTTGTAATCCATATTTGCAGAGTATAGAAGAAACTGTTTCATTTCGGTTCCGTTTGGGTTTGTTTTTTGGTCCCACAGCCCACGTTTCTTGTACCATTTTTCAGACAAGACAAAAGAATAACGTCTAAATTGGAAGACTGACTTAACGAAACCTTTTAAAAAGAAGAGAAGAAACAATATTCTTTTAGACAATTCAATAGCAGAGATACTTAATAATCAAAATTAGTAGGTGAAATTTGGTGAGAAGTTTACACTGTCCATGAAGCATGATAATCAACAACAACATTTATAATTCAATACAATTAATGAGTTTCTACTATTGGAATGAGTCTGGATTTTGTTTTAGATATGTAGTTTTTTTTTTTGCAATCCTTATCGTCGTTTAAGTGTAAAACATGACAAAATTAAGTGTGATACACTTAACCATGATTGGTACTTAAAATCCACTAATTTATGTTTTAAGAAAATGATATTCCATTATAATGTTTCCCGGAAACAAACCGTGATTTGCGGATGTTACAACGTCAATTAGTTCAACATGGCTTTACTTAAGGTAAAAGACTATAATTTCAAATAGTGAGACTATACAGATAATAATATTATTCAAAATTAAGTGGATTGTTTTTTAAATCATTAACATGGTACAAAAATTATTTAAATATAGGAATTTTTGAAATAATCACAATTTTCACAAATCACAACTCATTGCTAACCAGCTCATAAGCTAAAAAAGACAACTCATTCCTCCACTCTTTTGACAAAAACAGAGCACCAAACATTAAACCCTTCAAAAACACAAATCTCACCATCACACTAAAAAGAAAAAAAATGTCTCTGCTTCTTCTTCTTCTACTTCTTGTCCAATTCATTAGTCCATCTTCGCAATCTTCGATTCGAAACCTCCTCGAAGCTCGTGGTTTACCAGGTGGTTTGTTTCCAGACAACGTGGAGAGTTATAGTCTAGATGATAAGACAGGAGAGCTCGAAGTTCAGCTACAGAATCCTTGTTTCGCTCGGTTCGAAAACAGAGTATATTTTGATCGTGTGATTAGAGCAAATTTAAGCTATGGTGGGCTTGTTGGACTTGAAGGTTTGACACAAGAAGAGCTTTTTCTTTGGTTACCTGTTAAAGGCATTGCAGTGAATGATCCTTCTTCTGGACTTGTTCTTTTCGATATCGGTGTTGCTCATAAACAAATCTCTCGTTCTCTCTTTGAAGATCCTCCTGTTTGTTATCCTCCTGGTGAGTTAAAGTTTGTTCCTCAAAACGTTTTAGTGTTTTATTTATTTATTTGTAACATATGTTCTTGAATCGTGTATTTTCTTAATGCTAATTGTATGTTTTTTTTTGTAGGATCTATAATGGAGAAGTTAGAGAAAAGCAAGATGGATATTCAGCTCAAGAGATGAATGTGTTTTTTTTTTTTGGGGTGTGTAAGATTCAAAATCTCAAACTTGTCTCTTTGAAACTTGAACAAAAAATGTGTTTTTTCTTCTTTACTTTTTTTCTTTGGGGTTGTTTGGGAAAAGGTGGAAAGTGTCGGGAAATATGTGTAAAATCTGGAAAGAAAGGGGGAAAATTTTGGAACTTTTGTATAAACTATGGGGTCCATAAAGTAATCAATTTTGTCACTTGTCAATTATTTTTCTTTTCTTTATATAGAGGGAATATAGAGTACTTTAGTTGTTTATTTAACTTTTGCTTTAATTTTGAAAATGATGGTTTGATTTAATCATTATCCTCTAGCATAATCATTGACATAGAATTACGCTTTGGTTGGAAGCTGCATTTTTACCAAACAGGCAATCACAGCTGTTAATCTAACTAAACACAGCTGACGAGTTATAAAATTTTATAAAATAACTATTCCAAAGTTTCACTAATTTTTAGATAAGAAGAGTATCTTTAAAATCAGGTAGATATTTCGGGTAAAATAAATACTCCCATTTGTATCAAAATAAATGATGTTAAATATTTTTACACAAAGATTAAATGTTATTTTACTTTAATTTTTTTCTAAAGAAAAAATTAATTTATTATCTACCTAACCAAAATTCAAATAAATAAACTACAAAATACAAATAGTCATAAAAAAAAAAAGAAATTTTGCATAGAAAAATAAGAATATCAATTAATTTCAAACATAAATGTCTCCAAAACATCAATTATTTTGAAATAGAAAATATACATATATATCAGAAACGTTTTCTATACTTTTATTTATAATATCCCGATCTTATCCATATATCATCTTTAAAACTAATAATATCTCCGCTTTTATTTTTTTATTAATAAATTGGATTAAATTTCTAATCTTAAATACTTTTTCATCCCTAGAATACTTAACGTGATTTTATGTCAATACGCGACACATTATGATATAGTTAGTTATATGCAATTTAATAACATCTTTGGAATTTTCAGTGTTGGATATCACATTAAATCATTGATCAAATTTCTTTGGACAAATATTTTTACGAGTTTTATTTGACTTTATGGTTATTTCACCACTTGATTCTAGAATTTATATATATTTAAATTCTTAGTGATAAAATGATAGTTGAAATTAGATAACCTAATATTTTTTTTCGGTTAACCAAACTTTTTGAAAAAATACCCATGTTAAAAAAATGAATATATTCAATTAAAAAATAAAATCAAATATGATAAAAAGCAAACTCAATTCAAATGAGAAGAGTAAAATAAAAATTTACATCTCATCTTCATATAGTTACTTTATTTATAGTGTTGAGGTTAGAGATGCCCTTAAGATGTCTTATTTTTAAACAATACAGTAATATTTAAAGTTTAGGAATTTTGATAAAATTTATAGTTACCTAACAACTAACATAATTCAAATTTAAAATGAAGTTACGTTTAATATAATGTTTACATTTTTCTGTAGATATATTATTAGATATTTCAAAACTTAAATTACATTCATTTCATATTACAGTAAAACCTCTATAAATTAATAATGTTGGGACTAACAAATTTTTTTAATTTAGAGAGGTATTAATTTATCGATAAATTAATAATTATTAATTTATAAAGAGATTTTACTAATTTTGTAATTTCTTAAAAATATTTCTATCTAAAAATAATTTTTTTCTTTATAAGTAATATCTTTTAAAAACTAATTACAAGTAGAGAAGCAATTATTAAGTTTAAAAAAACAACACAAACGTTTTTCGAATAATAGAGTCATATTTTTATTAAATTTTTTACATAGAATATTTTAAATATATATCATAGTAATTCAAATATGACATATATAAATATATATATATATATATATATTGATAAGTTTATACAATTATATAGGGGCTTTTGCAAAAATGTCCCTTTTTCAATGCCACTTTTCAAAAATACCTATTCTTTAAAACCTTATAAAAATGCTCTTAAAAATATAAGATTTACCCAAATATATATGTAACATTATTAAAACATACACAAACTACATTTCTCTGTATCTAAAATCTTATAAATACTTTATAAATACCCTATAAATTCATTTTAAATACCTTTAAAAACCTTTAAAATATCTTGTAAAACCTTTGAAAAACCTTAAAAATCTTTTAAAATAACTTGTAAAACCTTTAAAAACACCTTATAAAACCTTATAAATACTTGGATCGAGTGTTCAAGTAGTAGTTACAATCCACAAGTACCTTATAAACCTAATAAAACTTTATAAAAATTTCAGATTTAAAAAGAGGCATTTTTGAAAATGGACATCTAAAATGGGCATTTTTGAAAAGGGGCACACCAAAAGGGACATTTTTAACAATTTCCCTTATTAATTTATGATATCGATGAGATCATATGTTTATATGAGATTTTTTAAAAAATTATTATCTTATTAATTTATCGATTTATGTCATATTTTATACTAGTCCCAACTCAGAACCGGAAGAATTTATTAATTTAGAAAGGTTATTAATTTATAAAGTATTAATTTATAGATGTTTTACTGTATGTTAAATTATCAAATGATATTCTTACGGAAAACAAAAAATTTCATTTTATTAATTAGATTAAAATTGTGACTATTTGGTATTAAAATGATCAAATGCTCGTCTTTTAAGTAATCGTGTCTGTGACAGGTGAACCCAAACAATCTTCGATGAGCATCTTCTCCGTTTCTTCACCTCTGAACTAGATTTGAGGATTTGATCGGATATTTCGATGGAGAGCCGCTCTTTAGGGTTTTGGGCGATTGGGGTTTTACTCGTCGGAAGCTTAATCGGAGCTACGAATGGCTCAATTCATTCGTATAACAACGAAAAGTTCACAGTCAAATTCAATGCTCGCTTCTTCCATGGCGGTAGCGAAGGTCTTTACGCTTCCAAATTCCAAGATCTAAACTCTTCTTCTTCTGATAATCCTTTTAAAGGCAAGTCCTTTATAAGGTCAGTTCCACTTCTTCTCAAGTTTCTACCTTTTGAATTCTACTGATTTCTCTATGCTTCTCTTGGTTTGATTTGTCTTTATTATTGCTCGTTGTTTTAGGTTTGATGATGTAACTTTTGTGAGGACAAAGGAATCAGCTAGTAAACAGAATGCAATGCAGTCAACTGCTGGATTGGTGGAAGCAATTATACTTGAGGTAAAAGATCGTGATAGAATCGGTGGCACTTTTCTCAAATCCGAAGTGATTTGTTGTACGCCTGAGCTTGCTGATACTGGATCTTGTAGTCTTGGGGAAGTTATAGTTAATAGAGAGTCTAATGATCTTGAGTGGCCAAGACAGATCAAGACTTTCTTTAAAGGGAATAAGACTGAAGTTACTATGTCCCCTGAAACTGTGGTTATTAATAAGACTGGGATTTATTATCTTTATTTCATGATATGTGATCCGGAATTGGATGGTACTAGAATCAGAGGGAGAACAGTTTGGAAGAACCCTGATGGTTATCTACCTGGAAAGGTGGCTCCTTTAATGAAAGTTTTTGGGTTTATGTCGTTAGCGTATGTTTTGCTTGGCCTAGTTTGGTTTGTGCGGTTTGTTCAGTTTTGGAAGGATATAATTCAGCTGCATTATCATATCACTTTGGTTATTGCTCTTGGCATGTGTGAAATGGCTGTTCGATACTTTGAATATGTTAATTTCAACTCGACTGGGATGAGACCAATGGACGTTACTCTATGGGCGGTGACCTTTTCGTCTATTAAAAAGACGCTTTCTAGGCTTCTTCTTCTGGTTGTCTCTATGGGTTATGGGGTTGTAAAGCCTACCCTTGGTGGTATAACCTCGAGGGTACTTCTTCTTGGAGTCATATATTTTGTTGCAACAGAGGCTCTTGAGTTGGTTGAGCATTTGGGAAACATCAATGACTTTTCGGGAAAGACAATGATAGTTTTGGTGATTCCCGTGGCATTACTGGATGCTTGCTTTATTTTGTGGATTTTCTCATCATTGGCAAGAACCCTTGAGAAACTTCAGGTAAGATACCACACTTATATCGAATGGATTTCTTTATTCATCATTAGCAGATACAAATATTGAATACTCATGATCTGTCACATTATTATATCCGAAAGATGTATGTACACCATATGCTTTCAGGGGTTTTAACCATGTTATCTTATTGAGATTTCAATCTGGCTGCTTATTATGCAGCCTATTCTAGGGAAAACTGGATACAGTAGCTGCTTAAGCCATCTACAACGATCCGGTTCTTCTTAATTTTTTTTTAGCTGCTTATATGTCTAATATTCACTGCAGATTAAGAGAAACATGGCTAAGCTTGAGCTTTATAGGAACTTCACCAATGCACTCGCTATCTCTGTTCTGCTCTCTATTGCTTGGATTGGTTTCGAGGTAACAAATCGCTACTCTAGTGACTGTCTCTCGTGTATAACTTGAAACCCCAAGTCTGAAATCACATTCTTCTCTATCTCTGTATTAGCTATACTTCAACGGAACTGACCCTCTAATCGAACTCTGGCGAATGGCGTGGATTATTCCAGCTTTTTGGAATATACTCTCTTATGGTCTGTTAGTAGTCATATGCATCCTTTGGGCACCATCCAATAATCCTACAAGGTTCTAATACTTTCCATTAACATTTACTCAAATGTTTTGGACTTCGATGGTCCCAATGGGTCAATTGCCAAAGATGTCAAGATTGAAGACACTTTTTGGTCTTCACCGACAGATTATCATTTTGCACTCAGCTTACCTCTAGTTGGTTTAAACCTTGCAGGTACTCATACTTAGCGGAAACAGGGGACGAGTTTGAAGAGGTAGGTATCTCATTGACAAGTGGAATTAAGAGTACAGAAGATGTTGAAAGGAATGAACTTCTATTTGGGCTTCCGGACGACGTTGAAGAGGGAAAACGCGAGTAAGCTCCAGGTTAAATAGTCCATACCTCGCTGAGTAGTTTTTAGTGTATGTCTTGCGTTCTGGTATGTAACGTTATGTACATCTTTTATCCTTTGTACCTGAGTAAGTTGATTACTGACCGTTAAGGACTTATTTACTCATATCAAAGTTCTTGTAGTCTTATATAAAGAGTTACAGACTGCTTATTTCCAGAGCGTCAAAGGGAACTTTTTTACATTAGAGACTTGAGATATTCGTCGAGACCGGGAAGTCGTTGATCATCATCGTAGCTGTACATTAAAGGAACTGTTCTTGCAATGTTGAGACAAGCTTTGGAGAATGATCTTGAGAATGGACTTGGATTCAGACACTCCCTGTTCAAGCGTTTCCATTCTTTAGATATCTTCTGGACAACATGTGTTCTTGCTTCATCAACAGTTGATCCCTTGTACTCGTTCAGGTAACACTCTACGTATGATCCATCAGTTCCATCTTGGTTCTCATCCTGTAATATCACACAAAACAATCTCTAAGATTCGATATCAAGTTTCAGATTCTCTATTCAGTAGTATCAGTAGTTCAATATAACCTTGGCACTTCCGAGATCATCCCAGAGCCTGAGAATTGTAGCTGCAGATGATACAATCCCTGGGTTGCTCTCAATTAGTTCGACTTTCTCTTTTGTTAGTTCTTCGCCTAACAAGATGTAGGCATGGAGCATCACTAAATGAACACCTGAACTCACAACCCCATTCTTCATATACTCTTCAGTATTCGGTAAGTAACCCGAATGAAACCACTTTGCTTCTATCAAGAATGCTTTACACAAACTTGCCCATTGAGAAACAAAGATATTGTATTGTAAATAGGGTTTGAACCAGTTGAGCTATATGATACAAAAAAATACACACATGATTGACGTTTTGAATTATAATTACCGATTTTCGAAGATAGTCTGTTGGGTTCCAACCATGTGATTTGCAGATCTTCATGCTAATCTCCATTGTGATCATATCTAGAGCTTCAAAGCAAACCTTCATGTATCTCGGCAGCGTCTCAAGCCCCTTATGATCCCATCTAGACATATTTAATTATCATTGACAGAGTTAAAAAAATTAATTATGTGAATCAACATAACTTATAGAGTAGTTTATATGTACCTCTCAACAACTTATAAGTTCTTCTAGCTCTCCATAAACATCGAAAATGTCATCTATAACGTAAACAAGCGATATTGGTTTGGTAAGATCAAGCCTTTGTTCGGTTAAGGTTGGATCTTGAAGAATTTCCATGGACCATGTGTACCATTTTAGTGGCTGGTTTCTTGCCTTCTCCAGCTCTTTTTCTAAATTAAGCTCTCTCCACCATCTGAAAATTCATAAACGAAATAAGAATCTTATATCGAATTCACATTTTGACATAAAGTTAACATCGATCTTCAGGGTGTATCTTGATTTTACTTGAATATTTGAGACATTTCTTCTTGAATCAGGGACTTCAACCTAATGGAATCAATCTCAGCCACTAGTAAAAGAGATTGTAACCACTCTTTATCTTCTTGACCAGCAATTTTGATCATGCTCATGAACCTTATTGACGTTAATCTTCTTAAGGTTTTGTGGCGAGGTTGCGCCAAAGAACTCATTATCTCTCGCTCTTGATGACTTTTTCGACCTGAGCAAAGTTCATTAAGGCAGTTAAATGTAAAGTCTCTCACTCCATCAAGTGTTTCTTCACCTTCTACACGGAGCTCAGAAGCTTCATACAATTCTATTAGAACCTTCACGTCATTTTTTGGGTCGTCTTCCAATCCACCTTTCTTGTCAAGGATGTTTTCAAAAATACCTAAATGTTTTATGAGCATCATGACTTGAGATACGCTTATATCACATGAGCAATTTAGTAAGTACATATATATGTGTGTGTGTACGTTTTATATCACCTACTTTCTTGAACATAGTAACCTTCTTGTCTCAGCAATCGAAAGCAAAGCGCGACCTCACGAAGATCACGTCCATAGAAATGGGTGGGTTCTTTGTATATCATGTGAAGAGTTTGATCGATCTCGTGTCGGAAATAGAGATCAATGCCTAAACCTTGAATGGCATTGATCATCTCCAAGTTCTCAAATGGATCATCTCGGTTTGAAACTAGAATGTTCTTGACCTTCTTGATATTCAATTTGTGTGAATATTCCTACAAGAAAAAAAAAAACACGTTCTTTTTAAAAATGGTGTGATTTACAAAGCAAGTATATGACACAGGATATATGTGTAGATACTATGGATGTCTTGTGATCAAACTTCTTCAAAATGCTAGAAACCGGAGAGTAGACACAGCTTGAGAGCATTCTGTTAGCAGTTTTTGCAGACGATGAAGAAGCGACCGCATTGTGAAATTTCGAGATCAGAAACGTTGGAGGATTGTTTGAATGTTTTGAAACAGAACAAGGAAGTGAAGTTATTGTGGGAGCTATCAAGGCCATGATGTATGAAACTAAGATTTTAATGCGAATGGTCCTAAATTTCTAACGAAATGTTGTTATATATCTATACTAGTATTTTTGATTTTTTTGCAGTCATTTTGGTGACGGATGGGTAAAAAAGCTCCCGGATTATTTGGATACCCAACCCATTTACAAATTTTGGTCATAAAAAGTTTGTTGGGTCGGGTTATATTTAACCCAACTCATACACCGGATATTCCAAATTTAATAATTTAGATATTTAGAAGATTTGATTAAGATTTAGAATTATGATTTTCCTATCATCTTTGTTTGATTTGTTTTTAACTGTTTTGAATCATCATATAATACATAAAATTATATTGACGAACATATATTATCCAATTGACGAAATGTGTGTTCAACGTTCTACATCCATTAAAATATTTAGACAATGATTCAGAATCATATCATAAATAATATCAACATTAATAAAATAAATGAGTTTTTTGGCGGGACGGGTTTGGCGGGACGGGTTTTTGAATCAACAATAATAAAAAGATTAAAATATCATTAATCCGTCGCTTCAATTTGAATCAATTCCTTTTTTTTAATTACCCTAATATTATACATATTAAATCAGTCTCATTTAGAAAAGATTGTATAAAACCAAAAATTATCCCGTGGTATAATGTTACTTAATAACAATTGTAAACTATAAAATATAAATATCTTAGAAAATGATACAATTTGCAAACTTTTACATATTTTAAATAATCGTTAAATTTTAAAAATTTCTACTTTTATAAAACAAATCACGGGACGGGTTAAGAAGTTACATGACAGGTTATATTTCGGAACGAAGTTATATGGTGGACGAGTTTGAATCAATATTTATAAAATTTTAAAATATCATTAACATGCCGTTTTAATACAGATGAAATCTACAGTTTATTAAAATATAAATATCTTAGAGAATGATATGATTTGTAAACTTTTATATATAATAAATAATCATTAAATTTTAAAATAAAAACAAATCACGGGACGGGTTAAGAAATTACAGAACGGGTTATATTTCGGAACGGGTTTATATGGCGGACAAATTTGAATCAATATTTATAAATATCATTAACATGCCGCTTTAATACGGATTAAATCCTCAGTTTAATAACAATTGTCTCGTGGACTCGTGGTATACTGTTACTTAAGAAAAATTGTAAACTATAATATAAATAAATATTTTATAAGGAGATATAATTTATAAAATATTTTTATATTAACTTTAAAAATAAATCATCCCGCGGTACACCGCGGGTTAAAATCTAGTTTATAGGTTATAAAGGAGTGGTGGATGGAGGATTTAGGCAGGGGCATACCCAACTCAGTCATTGATTAGGGGATTGGGCCATAATCAACCTAATCATTCATGATGTTTTGTTTATGTTCCTAAGTTAGGACTCCTAACTAATCCAAGTTAGGTTTTTTCACACATATTCATGAGTTTTTTGAAATAACATTTATAACCTTGTTTTATCAACTAATTATAAATTTCAAAGCAAACAGAAAATAAATAAATAAAGACATAATAGAAAAATATAGAGCTAATTATGCATAGAACATAAATAACATACATCTTTTAAAAAAAAAAATTTCTTCTAAAACTTGGATTAAGTAGAAGTAAATAACTTAATCAAACGCCAGATCAGATTGAGCGGTCAGCACTGGTTTAGGCACTCTATCACAGTCTGGTCGAAACCAATGGTAGCGGTTTAGTGATCAATCACTGTCTTCATCCAAATATTTAGGAACTATTATTAAACCCATATACTTTTTTTCTTTTTGGGTAGGACATCCGAAAACATTGGATCGACCATGTTTGGAAATGGCCAAAAATATAGTGCATCCAAAAGACCTTATTATTTAATTGACAAATAGACTTCTTCTTCTTTTTTTTTTTTTTGATAAAGATTGACAAATAGACTTGGTAAATTTATTTATTTAGCTCTAGATATTTTATTTAGATATTGAGAATATATGAAAACTGTTGATGTTATTCTTCAAGCAGATACAATTACATTTGGTTGGATTATTTCACCTCGGACACATTATTAACTTTCCTATAACAACAACATCGTTGTGGTATACACACGCCATAATCAAAATGCGCTTCTCTACAATACACAATACAACCTATGGCTCCTTCGTCAAAACACGCTGTCGTTCTGAAGCAAGTCTCTGGGGGTTCCGGAATTCTACGACCTATTAATTAATAAAAAAAAAAGTACATCATTATGGATATTCAATTTCAAAAGAACGAGAACATGTTCATAATTTATAAAAAAATGTTGTACAAGAGTATACCAATAAATATATAAAAATCGAAATATGATTCTTTGGTTTGATTTGTTTGCTCATTTTGTATAATGTTAATAAAAAGAAATAAGAAAGGAAACGAAGAATGAAAGTGTTATTTTGAAGTCAAATTAGAGTGAAAGAGGATGGAGACAGAAAAATTAACATAAATGTTTGGCTAAAAATTACTAAATGGTTGATATAGTTTACCTATTGCATATGTTGGTCCACCCCCCGGGGCACTTGCAATTGTTGAATGACAATGAACATAAGATATGATGAAAATGACACTGAAAACAAATGTGATTAGAGTTTTTGGGGAGATAGCCATTTTTTATATTCTTTTTTTTTTGTCAATGAGTTCTTCTTTACTTAGATTGCTTATATATAATAATACGAAT